AGAAGAATAACTGTGATATTTTCAAGCCTAACACAGAAGTAGAACATAAATTGTGATATGGTACTTCAAAATATATATTATTTTTTTTTGTCAAAATTAAAATAAAGAATATATATATGTGCTTCTTCCTGTGCTGAAGTGCCACTATTTGCAATCAACTATATGGGAGTAAATTCTTTAAGCCACTGATACTGTGAGTATATCTATACATATACAGACCACTGTATTTTTATCTGATTAATTATATTTACACATGTATCATGTGCCAGGTGCCATTGGAATAGGTACCAAATGATGCAAATTATTACCTTGAGTTTGGTTTTGTCCATTCGCCTCCCAGGCCTTCTCCTTATGGCTGTACTTCCTGTCTTGACTGGCGTCTTCTTTGCGGGGGTTTGAGTGTCACTGCTTGCATTTAAATCTACCGCCTCTTTTCCCTCTGGCACTGGAGAATCACTTGTCTCCTTGTTTGGAGTCAGTCCATTTCGTGGGGATGGCACTTCCATACTACTCTCTGGCTCTGAAACAGCTTCCTTACCTACAGGTGTTGATGGCACTTGGGAATTTTTGGCACCTTTCAAATCCTCACTGCTTGGACTTTTACCAGACTTTCCCTCTGGATCTTTTGCATTATTCTCACTCACCACAGCACTACCTAATGCACTGTCCTGTCCATCTGCTTGGCCTGTTCCCTTCAAACTACCCACACCCTCATCCTCAGGAGAACAAGTGTTCAAGATCACTGGTGAGGAAGAGCCACTGTTGTCCATTCCAGAGGAAGAACGGTCTGAATTGGACCTCGCAAAGGTGGTACCTTTTGAGATGACTGGCGTCCCCGGAGACTGTGGTGTTCGCCAGCCGTTGGGTGAGTCATCACGCCACAAAAATGAGTCCTAAAGAAAAAGAACTGGTGAGAAAACACAGTCAGGGAAGATCACTGAATATTTACTTGCTATTAAATGAACTTTCTCTGTTTTTCCTCAGTCTAGTGTCATACTAAAATACTAAAAAGAATGAAAAGATACTAAACTCTGGAACATATCATTACTATCATACATACTCAGTGAGGCAAACAGCCCTGAAGCTCTTGCAATCACAGACTTATGAGACTTTATATAAATAATAAGCAGTTCCATACCTCATCATCACTGTCAGGATAGAATGCCTCAGAGTTCACACCCGAACGCCTCCTTACGGCAATGGTGCGCTGATCATCCTCCTCCTTCAGGTGAATGACATTGCGTACACCCCAGTAGATCTTCAGCACACCCTCCAAAATGACACGGCCATTTGCCTTTAAGGAGAATGAAGGCTTTGTTGTAAATGGTTACAAGCTGTAGCTGCATTCATTCCATCCACTGCCTTGTGTTTATGATTTGGAGACATGTGCTTATTCAAACTATGAAGCTTGCAAAAATTACAATTATATTACACAGTAGCGCAAAAAAAAAAAAAATTGATGGGGGGAAGTAGTTAGGTGTTCCTTCAGTGGATATAATCCTATATATGAAATAGTGCCGCAATAGAAACTGGATATCTCTATACAAAGAAGGAAGTGGCTATGCATCAAAGTACCCTAATACTTCTCTAAATGCAAGCACGACTGAAAATAAACAAGGGCAAACTTAATGCTGGGAAATATTTGAGTACATAATATATGCAATAAACAAGTATGCAGTATGTATAAAAAGGAAAATAAACAGTACATACCATTTTAAAGAAAAAACAGATATGAAATGGAACATTATCATGGATCATCACCATCATCTCAGTCTCAGTCTCTCAGTCTCAGTCTCAGTCTCAGTCTCAGTCTCAGTCAGTCTCAGTCTCAGTCTCAGTCTCAGTCTCAGTCTCAGTCTCAGTCTCAGTCTCAGTCTCAGTCTCAGTCTCAGTCTCAGTCTCGGTCTCAGTCTCAGTCTCAGGTCTCGGTCTCAGTCTCAGTCTCAGTCTCAGTCTCAGTCTCAGTCTCAGTCTCTGTCTCAGTCTCGTCTCGTCTCAGTCTCAGTCTTAGTCTCAGTCTCTCTCAGTCTCAGTCTCACTCTGTCTCTCACTCTCACTCTCAGTCTCAGTCTCACTCTCAGTCTCTCTCTCTCTCACACACACACACACACACACACACACACACACACACACACACACACACACACACACACACACACACACACACACACACACACACAAAACTGCCTCTTGAGCACACTCACCTCCCTGCTCTTCAGCTCCCCTGGTTTCCCCTCATAATACTGGTTATATGCCTTCAGCTTAGCCTCCAAGTGTGACCTGCAAGAAGTAACATTCATCTCCAATCTGCTTTGTCTTCTCAGTTCCTCAGTGGATTTGTCATCATTTAAAATTTTTGATATTCAACATGTGTTTTTTTTTTTAAGGCAAAAACAATCAAGAGCTCAATTTGAAATATGCATGCATGCATACATGCAATGGTCTTTAGAATACAGTGTAATATCAAAAGCACAATGTAGGGTATCCTAAGTTTGAACTATTTAATATACTTTTCAAAATACAGAAATCAAGATCAACAGTAAAATTTTCTTCAGTATTACTTTCCCAAGTTTGTTCTCTTTATAATACTCCTCAATACTGATAAAAGTTTAACAGTACATTTTTCTCTCTACAACTCACCTTTTAACTTGTCCATCTCTATTCTCCACTTTCCCAAAGGAGGTGTGGCACTCATTGCGTGTCCCATGGCCAAAGAGCTGAGGGCCAAAGAGGGCTCCATAGCAAGGGTGGTGGCAGTATGGAACACCTTTGTGCTGAAGAGGGAAATCAGACATTAAAACTACTTACAAATCAAGAAACATAATTCTGTTGAAATCCATTGTAGGATACCAAATAAAAGCAATAGCAATTTACCACAGCAAAAATAACCCTCCATAAAATAATCTAAAAAATAATATGGTTTCAAAATTCCTGAATACCAACCTCTGCATGCTGGCCAGGATTTAGTCTCTTGCCACATTCCTCACACCGAAGACACTTGGGATGCCAGTCAAACCCTAACGATTGTTTTCGCTCCGCTAAAATCAAATAAAGCATTAATGTAAGGATTCAAGATTTACATGGAAATCACATGTACAGTAAGTTTACATATCTACTCTCTCCTAAATTCAAATAGATAACAAAAAATTATACAACATTTTGCCAGTAAAGCTCCCTCTTTTAAATATGTGAACTTGCAATAAAATGTAAAGACAGCCCTATCCTTAAACCTTTTTAAAAATTGCATTTACCAAACCTATTGCTACCTTTCCTCTTGACAAACAGACTATTGAATCAATATAAATATATAGTGAATCACATGATTATTTTTTCTTTTCATTTTCATTATCATTAACATTACCACCACACTGCAGCCATGGGACACAGCCATTTCCTGTGTGTACTTGCAGTTATTTATTCAATGAGAAATAAATTATATGGTTTCTCAAAAAAAATTATGTTTCTGAAAATTTGGGTATTAGTTCTATGCAATGTCATGTTAATTTTATGATAATATTTATTCCATCAGCCCAATTTTTAAAAGTCTGCATCTTTTCAGGTCTTATTGTTAATTAAAAGGGAAACAAAACACTAGACAAGATGTACAGGAAATTTATGACTATTCTGAGTGAAAAAATGTTTAACAGTATGTTTTTCTACCTTTCTCAAAGCTTATTTACCTTTTACTGTTTTTCTAGATAGGTTAAAGGGGATCACAACACACCAACTTCAAAAAGTAAATCATAATGTATTTATTATCATGGGTTGCATCTGCTACTACCTCATGCCTGGGTTGCAGGGTATTGCAGGCATTAGTCACACAATACCTGAACATCATACCTACCATAACACCTGGTGAGTACCGCAGACACATGGCGCTTTCACTAAATGTGATGAAAAACTCATGATGTCTTGGAATCTAATAAAAAACTGAGGTACATCTTACAAATGGCAATAGTTTCATTGTCAGTGTGGCTACCAAATCAGAGTCTTATAAACCAACTTCTGCTTCACGAACTATTATTGATATGACTTTACAGTCAGTTATTTTAGTAAAACACTAATAAGATGTCTCAATAAATAATTAATTCTGATACCACAAATACCTCAATATTATACATATTTCACATGTTTAATAGGATACAGAAAAGTCTACTTTACTTAGCTAGAACTTTCTATTGTTGTACACAAAGCATTCATGTCACTGTCAGTGCATGACCACATACCAGGTCTTGCTTTAAAATGATCATAACATTCCCTACAGACTAATTACTCTGATCTATTTGTAGTAAATATTGTTCACAATCTATTTCAAACAAACTGAATAGAGCATACTTCAGTTCTGAAGCTAAATAATAATCAACTGGGAAGAAATATCTTTAAATATAAACTTATAATCTGTTGCAATGAAAAATAATGCACCACAATATGATGTACCATAAATCTGCATTCAATTTACTATGCACATGATCTACCATATGTTATAAAGCTATTCCAAACTCTGTAAACATATCATCTCTACTTTCTTTCAAGTGCTAAAGCCTGAGAATTATTCAGTTCTTTATGTTCACAATTCTGAACATTATATGAAAAAACTGGACTGATTCTATCTATGTACATAATCTATATGAATCAATGAATAGCATCATGAACTCTGTATATAGACTAATTAAGATGCTAGTTATGGAAGAGGGGCATGGCTTCTCTACAAAAAAAGCATACAATAACTGTCATTGATTTTCTTATTGTCTCTAATAGTGTTTCATATATTAAGATTATCAATAATTCTAAATCAGAAATTTTGTATAGATTATGTTTACCTATAATACCATTATCTTTTCCTTTATATCTCTAAGACTAAGTCTCAATGATCATCATTCACACTATGCAAAGATGGGTCAACTATTAACCCTTTGACTACAAGTACCCAAGAACTAGACATAGAGGTAATTTTCAATCCATGTCGTGTTGCAGCATGAAGGGAGACCTAATATCCCCAA